TACATATGTAATAGAATAAAAAGTTTTATACAGATATACACATACATATATACATATATCTTTTATAATTTAGAAATAAAGGAAAATATTTAGATTCCTTACATTTATATATTACTATATAAGTTAATTTACGATATATATTCATGATCAAATATTCTGAATATCAACCCCAGTTGCAAATATCAGCCAACCTCACCTCAAACATGCTGAAATAGTAAAGAAAGAAATTTATTTTTTCTCAGTAGGCATTCATATATTGTTGTTCAGAATGTAAATAGGTACTTCTTTCTGGAGGCAATTTTGGTAATAAGGCCTTTTTTAATACAAAAAAAAAGAAATTTATTTTTTCTCACATAACTAGTGGTCCAGGTAGGTTGTGGGCTTAGTAATGTCATCAAGGGCCTTTCCATATCTGTTCTGCTTTCCGCAGTGTGAGGGGGTCCTTACCTGGAGCCCCTCATAATATCAATACAGTCACAGTACCTCCTGCTGTTATATCTGTGTTGGTTTAAAATATACCCATAAATTATTTAATATTCCTCCCTTCAAATGTGGAGCATAATTCCCCTCCTCTTGAATGTGGGCTGCATTTAGTGATTCACTTTTAATAAATAGACTGTCATGGAAATGACAGTGTGTTGCTTCTGAAATTAGGACATAAAGGCATTGTGGCTTCCTTCTTATACTTTCTCTTGGGTCACTCACTCTGGGGAAATCCAGTTACCATGTCATAAGGGCACTCAGTTAACACTATGATGTCCACATGGCAAGTAACAAGCCTCCTGCAAACAGCCAACAATGAACTGAGACTTTCTGCCATAGCCATGTGAGGGCACCACCTTGGCAATCTCCAAGCCCCAGTCAAGCCTTCAGATGACTGCAGCTCTAGCAAATGTCTTGACTGCAGCCTCATAAGAGAACCTGAGCCAGAACCACCCAGCTAAGCTGTTCCTGAATTCTTGACCGACAGAAACTGTGGGATAATAAATATTTGAGATAATAAATGAAAATTGTAACATAGTGCTACATAACTAGTGCCAGATCTATATATGACAACAGCTAGGGGAAGAAAGGAGCAACTCTTCTTTCTGGCTCTGTTTCTCTCTCTCTCTTTTTTATAAAAAAAAATTTGGGGGGGGGCATAAATTTTTCTGAGGCTTCCCAGCAGACTTTTTACATTCCACTGGCCAGACCTGGGTCACAATCCAGTTTCTCAATCAATGACTGGTAAGAGGATATTACCATGATTGGCTTATGCTGGATAAGATCTACCCCATGGAACTGGAGTTGGCTTCACTGAAACAGAAGACTGTGTAGAGGATAGTGACTTCTGTTAGGAAGGAAGTAGAGTAGAGGAATAGCTATTGAGGTGACTCAATCAAGAGGTCTAGATCATGCTGTATAACAAATATCCACCAATTCTTAATGGCATAACACACCAAAAGTTCATTTCTCTTTCACACCACCTATCCAGAGTGGTTTAGCTAGAAGACCCCAGCTGAAGGCTTCTATGTTTCTATTATTTTCCCAGAGGTCAGGTGGGAAAGTGGCAAACAGTTTACTGGGTCCTAAAGTTTTTCCCTGGACATGACATATCACGTCCTCTCCATCTTATTGAGCTAAGTAATTATATCTAATTTCAAACAGTTAGATAATGCAATCTTATGTTGTGATCAGAAACTGGAAACGCAGAAATATTTGGTGAACATCAGTGATGTTCATTACCAGCAGGAGAAAAACAGTGTCTGAAAAAGCTGCTTGCTGGAGGGACCAGAAATTAGGGCTGTAGTATGAAAACACTTTCCATGCTCTACCCTCTAACATTCCCAAACCTCTTTAGGAATCTCTCTCTTCTTATTCTTGTCTTTAAGAGCTGAATTGGTAGAATAGGTAAGATGTTAGGCACATGGCACAAGGAAAGATCCTAACTTAACTGCTGGTGTTAGATCTTAGCCTAGCAAGTGTCTTAGCAGACTACTTGAAAATTTCAGTGAGAAGAATATTTACTCAGCATCAGGTATTTAATCGTGCTTGGATATCAGGTCCAATAATGTGTGATTTTGCTAATAAATCTATAAATAACATATTGAAATGATAAGTGCGGCAGTGATGAGATCTGCAGGTCAATAGGTCACTTTTCTCAGGCTTCTTCATGCTTGTGGAGTGGCTCTTACTCTAATAGGATGCATGGAAGCTTCCTAAGCAAGGAAACAGATCCATTCTCCTCAATGCTAGTCCTCTAGTTTGAGTCCTGCAAAGCTCCTAACTTACCAGACTTCGAGTTCCCTGCTTTGCCTTTATCTTTTGAGCTCTTTTATGATAGCGAACCTATTAATAAATCAGAAACTAAAACAGTTTTGCTGACTCCTAGCTCTGGTAACAATCTAGCTAACTCCATCTCATTTTTCAGCTCTTTACAAGAAGCCTTCTGAGTATCTCAGTGCTCCATCCAGTCTTACTCTGTTTTTCATGTCCTGTCTTCTTCCACACACACCTTTTTGTTCCTGTCTTTACAAAGCACGTATCATACTGCAATCAGCAATAGCCGATTTCCTGGATATCTGCCTTCCCAACCTATAAGCTCTTTGAAATTAAGCTTCACATTTTATAAGATCTTAGAAATTCATAGGTCAGGTGTAGCGAATAATAATGTGGTGCCTGATTATTAAGAAATGTTCAGTGAATGTTGAATGAATACTTAAAAAACTACAAGGATCAAACTCTGGCGAAGGGGATTATGTGTCCCTGTGTTCTAGGAATTTCCAATACTCTTGAGAGTCTTTAAAAATTCACTATAAAGATCCATTGTTTTCACTTCCTAAAGCAGGGTAAGCTAACAGTATCTATTGAAATATAATTAACTGGAGATAGGTCAACAAATTTAGGCCTTAATTTAGTATCAACAGTTCATCCAATTAACTTCTTACAAGAGTAACACTGGCAGTGGCTCTCAGCTTTGTTCCAAGTAGGGAGGGTGGTGGTGACACCTATGTCATTAAGTAATCCTCTGGCAACAGAAACTGTAGGGATAGGGGTGGAAAGTGTAGTTTGAAGACATCCCTCAGGCAATTCCTGTAAATTCACCCCGAGGAAAGTGTGACCCATTTTCTTTCCTCCCCATTCCACTGCACAAAGGGCTGATGCTGAGGCAGGCCAAGGTCATTTTGGTCTCGGAGATTTTATAATGGATTGGACTCCCCGGGGGCACCCAGATTCAGGTAGCAGGGCTTTTATTACCACGAGGTAGCTGAGCTTATTCTTTCTGGTTCACATAACTATTTAAAAACTACATTATTTATAGGTGTGGGCATTTATGGAAAATCGTTTGTTATTAAGCTTATAGCAACTGCTTCTTTTTCTTGGTCCTGTGGGTGAGGACTGACAACAGCGGTCCTACTGTCATCTTTAGGGAAGTCACGCCCTGGCTCAGCAAAGCTACAGACAGTCTTCAAGGCTCAGGGTGTAGTCTGGCTGTAGAGCACTTGAAAGCCCTGAGGAGTAGTCAGCCGTCGGCACACTGTCTTCTTTCAGCCGTCTTAGGAGTTTCCGAACTCGCTCGAGTGGAGACTTGCAGGGGTGGGGCTGGAATGTCTTCCGCATTCCTCCTCCCCGCCCCTCCCCTTTCCTCCTCCTTCCCCTCTCGCTCCTCTCTCCAGTACCCTTCTTCCCCTCCCCCTCTCCCTCCCCCTCTC